CTTCAGAAAGAATTTTTACGGAAAATTAACTAACGACCAGAGACGTAACAATATAGAAGTATTCATTTGTTTCACTCGCTCTATTGTTCGGTGTCTTTCATTAAAGGTAACACCTTCTCTACCCATGGAAAGGTTAAATGTAAAGTTGTACTTGTTATCTGGATATAGACAGCAGTTTTCTCCATTGGTAGGTCAAGTAATACCTCAAGGTTACATCTTCCTGTATTTTCTGATGGAGATGATCAGTCGCATGGATAGTGTTAGTTGCTTAGGGAAAGTGTGATATTGTAGTTTTAAGAATATAACATTATGTTTACTCGGACTGAAATACATCCTCATCTTAGATTCAACAACCTTACAAAGAATAAACAGCTTACCTCAATTACAGATCTCTCTCCAGTAAAGGGGATTGCCCATCAAGCTAAGTACACATATTGTGATTATTTAACATTTATTTAAATTAACATTGTTTTCACCACGTGTTTCACATTTGTGTCCAGTTTCTTTCTTCGCACAAACTCAGTCAGAGTAGAGAAGTCAGAATAACTTCGAGTAAATATCTTGATGGACTATCCTGTTATTCGACAGACCTATCGTATTCACTCTTGGGGGGAAATCAGTTTTACCTGAGAATACCACAGTTGCGGGGCGTATTTCCCCCTCCAACTTTAACCATGTAGCTTTATGATTGTAAGTTTAGGTTTATATTTAGTGTCATGAAAGGGCGTTTCTAATATGGAATTTTTTGAATGCTAAGGTATCTTTATAAAAGATTTATACCATTGTGTGAACATTTTTAGCCCAGGAAATGCATGCAAAAGAAGTCTGAAGTTAACTACTATCACGGAAAATGAAGATAAAATCCCCCCCCCCCAAAAAAAACAAACAACAAAAACAAAACAAAAAACAACAACATCGTTTGGTGGGTGAAATATCTGCAGTTGTTCAACTTTATTTTATTTTTGTAAATGCTCCTGTGATGTATTCATTCAATACGTCTATTTCATGATTGACGCGACTTTATTTAATACATTAGCTACGTGTTATGGTATTTGATATAGATGTATATACCCTATATATAAGTTTTAGCCATAGGCATTCGATTTATTGTGACGTGTCATTTGTAATTTTTCGTCAAGATATTTTGATTTTGACAAATGTCAAACGTAATTAGAGAGGACAGCACTGTGCCAGTCAGCTGCAACCTTCAATTATCTGTTGCTACTATTATTATTACTGTACCAGGAAAAATTCTAGAAAATTTGACAAACATTAGAAACTGGGCAGTAAGTTCAAGGTTGACATAGATCAAATTTGTAAAATAAGCTTAATAGTTTTGTTAATTTTATAAAATTGTAGTCACGATTTTGTAAGATAGCTCGTAAATAAGGTACAGTTACTTGAATTTGAAATAAAATACTACTACTAGTAGTAGTACTAGGTAATTTTAGACTTGGCAAGCCTAAGTAATTTCGTCGACGACGTTGCTTGTTATGTTAATCACTTAATCAGTTAATATTATGTTACGTATAAATTATGCAACATTGCAAGTAAACTGAAGAAAGAAGTATATATTACTGAAATATATTTACGTCACTACTGTGTACATAGAGTTGACCTGATAAAAAGCGTAAAAGTTTCATAATTGTTTGATTTGTGACGTTAATTGTTATGTCATAGTTTGTCCACTTAGAATTAGATTAATTTAACAGTTAATGAGTTATGTTTAAGTGTCATGCACAACTTTCCAAAATTACTTCGTAAGTATTTGACACTGCATGTATGTTTTAATGTTAATATAGCCATTTACGCTAAATGAGGTAAATGACACATTTAATGATTTAGTGAATTTAAAATGTCTAATTTCCATCATCGTCCATTTGAAAAACAACTGAAAATGTGAGATATGGAATGATCTTAGAATTTATGCTGTAACACATATGGTGGTTTCACTTTTACATTTAATTGGGTTGAGAATAAACCAAATGATCATTTAGCAAAACTGAATATTAACAGGCCTAACATTTGTTTTAAAAATCACATTAATTTCAGATGTTATTTCCACATTTTTCATAATTTGATCATTAAGGATTAAAAACCAGAGATATGTAAACTAATCTTCTAAAAGATGCAAGAACATTGTCTAGATTATATTAACTTTAGTTTTTGCACTATAGATAGGTTGTATTGAAACTTGTTTTATTTATAGGTGATGTCATTAAACTAAACTGTTGTAGACACAGCGGAAGTAAAACCTCATGATCTACAGTTGTTTATAATCTGGAATATCAGTTAAATATTGTTTAATCATTTTTAGGCACATATTTGGATACTTGGAGTTAGAAAATGTAGAAGCACATATAAATAGTTTTTTTGAGGATCTTTTGTCTCATCATCTAGCCCAACTCAAAAGTTTTGGTATTGAATGAAAAACCTCATGGGCTGTAATTTATGGGAGACAAAAGGTAGATCTGAATTGCTATTTTTACACCCCTGAATTTAAATGTGCAATGGGCAAATTAAGAGTAATGTGGAGAAAAATACATCTGCAGTTAATGCAATTTTTATCACAAATTTTAGGTATGTGTTTCTAATGTTTCACCAACTTTTGAAGTTTAAAACATAAATTTTGTATGTTAATAGATGTAGAATGTGTATCTACTTAAGTAAAGAAGCAAACCTGTATCGGGCTATTTTATATAAACAACTTGAAACAACAAGTTTTTTTCCATCTTAAATCATTATTTCATCAAATGTTAAAGAAAAAAATTGCAAATGTAACTAAATTTTCCTATTGAGAATTTGGCAAATTCATAAAAAATACAAGGAAGCAAAGTGTTTCTGTAAAAAAAAATATAAAAATCTGGTTTGTTAAAGCTTGAATGATGTCCACAGTATATTTTTAAAGAGAAATTTGATTTAATAATGAAGTATTAACAAGCAATCTCTGACTTAACCACAGCATATTTACTAAACCACTTGGAAAGCTATATCTGAGATTTTGTTGCATTTCCTGAAGGTTTGTTGGAATACAGCATATTTTGTGATGAATCAAACAGTTTAGGGCAATCTTGAAACAGAAAAGGATTTATGAAGATACATTGATTTTTTTGTAGGGTCAGTGGGAGTGATTTTTCACTAAAAAATGGATTTAGGCCATCAATGTTGTAATACAATTTTACTGAAAACACTTTTTTTTAAAAAAAAAGAGCTGAGCAATTTGATCAATTACATATGAGCAGCAGTTACATTGACTTGTCATGCAAAGTAATAAATAAATCAACATTTAGATGAAATCAAAAGTAGTGTTTCCAACTGCTACTGTTTTTGAATTATTTCAATAATTGATTAATCAAATCTCTGATTATATAAATTAAATGAAAATAAGCAATTAATTGAAATAACTGTTTTGATTATTCCAACTTTAATCAAAATTATGATTAAATTGATTGTTAGAGAAATAACCAACTAATCAAAATTAATTGTCCTGATTATTAATGTTTTTAATTATTCCAACTATCCAAATAATCCTGTCTTTATTATTTCAAAATTACTAAGTATTAGGTCATAAATAAATAAATGTCACTTATTTTAGATGAAAAAAAACCCAAACAACTGATATATCAAAACAAAACATTTATTAAATGAAATAGTCTCCATTCTTATCAATTATGGTTTTCTATCTTACTATCAGGTTGTTAATGCCCTGATTAAAGAAATCACTTGGCTTTGAAGCAAAAAAGATGTTGATATCCTTTTTAACATCGTTCACATTTGCATACGTTTTTCCATTAAGATGGTGTTGCAGCGAACAAAGAAGATGGTAATCTGATGGTGCCATAGCTGGAGAATATGGAGGGTGGGGGGAGAACTTCCCAACCTAACTCCATAATCTTGTGTTGCATCACACATGCCACATGTGGATGTGCATTGTCGTGGAGATGAACAGTTCGCTGTGGATTGAGGAGTTCGAAATGAATTACTCCTTTGATGTTCTACCAAATGCATAGCATCACTTTCTGTGGATGAAGTCCAGGTTTTGGGGTCAGAAGTGGTTTTTGTATAGAACTGAGCCATTGTTTTTGGCATTTAATATTTGCATAGAGAATCCATTTTTCATCACAGGTGACCATTCTGTCTAAATATGGTTCACGCGCATTACATGCCAGAAGAGATGAAGCAACGTTCACATGTTGGAAAAGATGATCTTCAGAGAGTTCGTGAGGCACCCAAACACATTCTTTGTGGGGATCTCCTATATTCCTTATATGTTTACGTATTGTTTAATGAGTGGTGTGCAATTTCAGGGCCATTTCACGAGCATGTTGCCTTGGGTTAGACTCAAGTGTCTTCAGAGGATCAATATCAATTCCAACATGTTGGCCCCTGCCATCACAGTTTTTAAGGCTAAAGTCACCTGAACAAAATTTGCTGAACCATCTTTGACACTTACGAACGTTCAAAACATTTACATAAACTTCTTTGATATTCCTTGTGGCTACAGAGTCATTGTTTCCCTTCTTGTATTCAAACAGCATTGCTAAATGTGTGTCTCATTGTGTGCCATCACTATAAGGGATTAGAGTATACTAAACTTTACACATTATATAGACTACACTAACATGATGTTTAGGTAGTTCGTTTAAGTATTATACGTGATGTACATTTTTTGGGGGGGGGGGGGGGTTAATGAAAGTGTTCTAAAATGCGACATTAATTTCTTGACAACCTAATATCTGCTACTGTCATTAACTTTGAATTGCTGACTAGAGGGAAAGCACTAACCACCATCTCTCTGGCTACTTAACTGTTGGATAACTGGTAAATTTGCTGTTTTTGTTAAATTTCTAATTGTGTAATTGTATTCTTTAATGCTCAATAAGCAGGCACAAATCTAGAGAAAGTGTCTAGGAAGTCCAGACCCCTCCTCTCCATCTCTTCAAAAATTAACTGTATTATTTAATATTGTATAAGCAGGCATGGATATAGAGAAAATATTCAATGGGGCCATACCCACTTCACCCATTTTTTTTTTTTTTTTTTTTCAAGAAAATAATAAAAATCTATAACAATCCAGACCGTAACTGATTATTTCTAAGGTCATACAACAATATGAATATCAGTTAAACATTGCCATGGTAATTTTTTGTGCTTTCTTTTTCAAGACCCTAACAATATATTTTGACTTTAAGAGATTTGTTTTCATCGAAGCTAGTATTCTTTATGACTCCTGCAGATTTGTTAGAGAATCACACTTTTTTCTTTGTTTTAATAGTTGCTAGAATTTTCTTGAGAAAGATGTTTTTATATTTGATGTCTGAAATAAGTGAAAATGCAAGTGGTATGACTGCACAAGTAATAAGTTTTTGAAAACGGGTATTCTGTTTACCAGTTGTATAATTATTATTTTCATATGAATCATATTGCTAGCAATAAAGATATAAGCTATGAAATCACTGGATTATAACCTGACTGAGCTATTCATTTACAGTATATATATATGTATATTAACAGTATTTAAACTCTGACTTACTTAGGTTACTTTAGGACTATATAGTCAACATTGATTAATCCAAAATACTATATTATTATAGTGGAAGTCTCTTCTTTCATGTACAGATACTGAATATTTGGTTAGTGTTATAAACTAACTTTTTTAAAAAGTGAATTGGTATCATACCATCATTGTAAAAATAAAGTAGTATGGTAGCTATTGTGGAGAAGTTCAAATATTATTAATTGTTAACACAATAATACTATATTATCTGAATAAACTTTCTAGATTTATTCATTCTATAATAGTGTTCAAACTTTTTAGGATAGTTATATCTATCAAAAGTTTTATAAAACAAGTTGATGTTTTAATTTTTATGTTGTTTGACTTTAAATTTAGTCTACTTGAAGAATAAAAAAAAAGTAGGTTTTTACTTTGACTGAGTACTTGTTTGCCTAATAAATAAGGTTTCATCATTCATTTCTTTTGGTTGGTAACAAAGTCTTTGGGTAACTGTGTCGTTATAAATACAAACTTGAGACTCAAACTTTGTGGTAAACATGATTATAAACATGTAGAACAATACTGAGTTGTCTGGAATAACAGATCTGGAAAAATATACACAGTATTGTTGCAACTAGTGGCTTATAAGTAAATAAGTCTTTTGTTTATAAAGGTTAAAAAGTGCAGATGTGTTGTGTGTATTGATATTTTCATGTACAAAGTTCAGGATTAAAAAAATAACTTCTAAATTTTTGTGCCTCTGTCTGAAGACAGGGTTTCCTCCAGCTTTTCATATTTTTTTTTTGCTACTTGTTAAAATTTTTTGAGAGAGAAGTTTTAAAGTCAGTTTTTGTTAATTCTAACTATATTTCAATAATTGTAAATCAAAATTA